GCCCCCTTTTTTTTTTTTTTGAGACAGAGTCTCACTATGTCACCCTGGGTAGAGTGCTGTGGCATCACAGCTCACAGCAACTTCCAACTCTTGGGCTCAAGTGATTCTCTTGCCTCAGCCTCCCGAGTAGCTGGGACAACAGGCGCTTGCCATAACATCTGGCTATTTTTTTTTTGGTTGTAGTTGTCATTGTTTGGCAGGCCCGGGCTGGATTCAAACATGCCAGCTCCGGTGCATGTGGCTGGTGCCCTAGCTGCTGAGCTACAGGCACCAAGCCCGTTGTTTTAATTTCTAATTATTTAATATTGAGTATCTTTCAATATGTGAATGGGCTATTTGTATATCTTCTTTGGTAAAATGTCTATTCAGATCCTTTGCCTATTTTTTTTTTTTTTGAGACTGAGCCTCAAAGCTGTTGCCCTGGGTAGGGTGCCGTGACATCACAGCTCACAGCAACCTCCAACTCCTGGGCTCAAGCGATTCTCCTGCCTCTACCTCCCAAGTAGCTGGGACTACAGGTGCCCACTATAATGCCTGGCTGTTTTTTGGTTACAGCCATCATGGTTGTTTGGTGGGCCCAGGCTGGATTCAAACCCCCCAGCTCAGGTGTATGTGGCTGGCACTTTAGCTGCTTGAGCCACAGGCACGGAGCACCTTTGCTCATCTTTAAATTGTGCAGTCCTTTTATTGCCGAGTTGTAAGAGCTCTTTATATCTTCTAGATACTAGATTTTCACTTTATTAATCCTCTTAATCAGCTTGCTGAAACATGGAAATTTTTCTCTCTTTTATAGTATAAGAGACTGAGGTCTGGAGAGTTTTACTTAGAGGTGTAATTAAATCTATATCTGTGATTCTCCAAAGCCTGTGCCCCTTACGCTATTTTATGCTGCTTCTTGGTACAAAGACGTTTTAACAGTTGATAAGGTTTAAAGAGTGGCTGCACCTGTGGGTGGTTAATAAGGAGATAAATGTCTTCAGAATTGAAGCCAAGATGTTAGAAACATTATCAACTGCCTGCTGAAGTCAATGGTGGAAGTTCTCAGTCATATATAAATAAGTTGGATTACATAATGTTTAAGGTTCTTATTTTGTCTAAAATTCTCTAAACTTAATAAGCCTTTTGTTTTACCAGCAACAAAAAAAGAAATAGTGACAAAAGCCAATTCCCCAAGTATTCCGATAAAAGGAAGAACTATCCACCGTGTAAATTTCTCTAAGACGTGGGTGAGAGCCCTCTGGGGATTTCTGCTCCAATTTGTCAATGAAAAAAATGGATCTGCTATCTCCTGCTGGCAGTATAATCTGTGCTTTCCTCAAAACAAACATGAAAACCTGGCTCGGCACCTGTAGCACAGTGGTTACAGCGCTGACCACATACACCAAGGATGGCAGGTTCGAACCCAGCCTGGGCAAGCTAAACAATGACAACTGCAATAAAAAAAATAGCCAGGCATTGTGCCAGCTGTCTATAGTCCAGGAGGAGGCTGAGGCAAGAGAATCGCTTAAGCCTCAGAGTTTGAGGTTGCTGTGACTGTGATGCCATGGCACTATACCAGGGGCAACATAGTGAGACTCTGTCTCCAAAAAAAAGAAACCTGAGTTCTTTCGTCTTGGGTGAATCAAATGATGTTATGCTAAGCTAAGACCAAGTTGCTCCCCAGAGCCTATGGGTACATAAATAACTATTTTGCTGCAAATGAACAGCAATCTGCTGGATGAAGTTATTATAGTCATGCTATCACTTTTGTACTTCCTTGCTACCTCCAACAGCAGATGATTTCAAAGGAATCATTTAAAAAGTTATACACTTGTATAAAACTGTAACATGCATGGAATAAGAACTGAGTCATTGACAAAGTATAAATATGGTTTTAACAAGAAATTATAACCGGCTCGGTGCCCATGCTCAGTGGTTAGGGCGCTAGCCACATGCCCTGGGGCTGGTGGATTTCAACCTGGCCTGGGCCTGCTAAATGACAATAATAACAAAAAAACAGCCAGATATTGTGGCGAGTACCTGTAGTC